TGATCTTATCCATGTAAGTGATAAAGAGAATCGGAGAGAGAACACACCCTTGTCTCACCCCAGACCTTATGCAGTTGCGAGCGCCGTAAAACCCCATACTATGCTAAAAAAAAAAAAAAAAACTTTAAAAAACCCAGACCTGATGGGGAACCAGCCCGATAGTCCTTCTGTTGATCTTACGGCACACAGGCTGTTTTTATAAAGTGACATGATGTTCTCCGTCAATTGTCCTCTTACACCATATTCCTCTAAGACATCCCACAGTTGACATCTATCTACCCGGTCAAACGCCGTTTCCTGATCCACGAAGACGATATTGAGGTGTTTGTCATGTGCAATGGCAGTCTCACCCAACTGTCTTAATCATTAAGTTAATGTAAAAATAGCGTCAGTACAACCCCTGCATTTTCTGAAGCCAAACTGAGATTCACTGAGTTGAGTCTCTACAATTGGTCTTTTTCATTTCCAGTATTTTGGCAAACATTTTGCCCGCATGACTGAGAAGGGATATTCCTAATAGTGTTGATAGGGGCGTTAAATCTATATCAAAGTGGCGTCGGTGGCCTAGTGGTTAGTGAAAATACGTGTTCGAGCCTCAGTTCGGTCCGACGTAGTGTCCTTTGAAAAAGCACTTTACACGAATTTCCCATTTGGCTCGGTCCTTTCGGACGTTAAACTCTGAGGTCCTGCCCTTTAAATAAGCTACTAGTATTGATAGGGGCGTTAATCCTATACCATTTCAGCATTTTGAAGAGAGCAATGAACGTGATACAAGAGGAGGGGGGGATTGGTGTTGTAGAGAGCAGGCCGATATTATACGGATATTGTAATAATGACTGTTTGTTCATCAGGAACTGATGACGACCTTGTAAGACAAGTTGTAAACCTTACTAGCTGCGGCTTTGTGTAGTTGTAAACCTTGCTAGCTACGACTTTGTGTAGTTCTAAACCTTGCTAGCAACGGCTTTGTGTATTTCTGAACCTTGCTGCTACGGCTGTGTGTGTTACTCTAGCAAATGAAGAGAGCAAGAGGAGAACATGTATTAGGAGTGCTATAGATAATGATATTGTTAATGACATTGTTAATTATAATATTGTTAATGACAACGTTAATGATAATGATATTGTTGACTCAATGAAGAAGCGAATCCTGCCCATTCGAATGACTAGAAAAACTTCGTTATATCTATACAAATTGTCCAATTCTGTTTTCTGTTTCTGAACTTAAAATGGCAGGCAACATTTATATCAATATGAAATGTCCAATGTTGTGTTTCTGGTTTGTATATGTGGGCTTGAAATGTGCCACAACACTGACTTTGATCTGTTTTTAGTTGGAGAAATGTGTGTGACGCGTCTATAAAGAGTTAATACCCCCGGAGCAGTGCCACACTGACTGAAGTGTCTTTAGGCCATTCCCAAAAGGGGGACATTTCTCGTTCATGTACTTTAGAATTGTAAATGGGCTGATTCATCAATGTCACGCTCAGAACTGTGCCTGATCTACAAAAGGGAACTGCTGCTTTTTCTTTCCTAGTCCTTACCGTCGTCATTTTTCCTCTTCTTATTTTGTATGTTTGTCACTCTCTTGTGACCTGCCATTTCCGGGGTTCCTTGATAGTCGAAGCAGACTTTGTGCTGTTGAAGCTAGAAAGGTGAGCAGAGTAAGTCTGATTCCCTGGAAGTACTTCTCTGTTGACATCCACCCCTTAGCGCTCATATGACCTTATGCAGTTGCGAGCGCCGTAAAACCTCTACTAAAACTAAACTAGCTACTGATTTGTGTGTTACTCTAGCAAGTGAAGAGAGCAAGATGACATGTAGTAAGAGCGTTATAGATAATGACAATGTTAATGATAATGATATTGTTAATGACAATGTTAATGATATTGTTAATGACAACGTTAATGATAACGATAATGATATTGTTGACTCAATGAAGAAGCAAATCCTACCCATTCGAATGCTTGAAAAAGGCTTAACTTCGTTGTATCTATACATATTGTCCAATTCTATTTTCTGTTTCTGAACTTTAAAAGGCAGGCAAGAACATTTATATCAATATGAAATGTCCAATGTTGTGTTTCTGGTTTGTGTATGTGGGCTTGAAATGTGCCACAACACTACTTTGATCTGTTTTTGGTCGGACAAATGTGTCTGACAATTCCATAAAGAATTAATGACAGTGTTAATAATAATGATATTGTTAATGACAATGTTAATGATAATGATACTGTTAATGTTAGTGATAATGATATTGTTAATAATGCATGACTTTTGTACCCGCACATTTCAATTTCTCTTTTCATTTTCCCGTCTGATATTGATATGCTTCAACGTATTTGAAGAGCACAGTGGAAAGTCGACGGTTGTCACAAACTAGAAATTGTGGGGGTGCCAATTTTAAATGCTTGTGAGTCAGTCAACAAGTGTTCAAAATTGGTAACTTCACTATTTTCAGTTCTTGACGACCGTCGTTTTTCCCCTGTTCTTCATTTGAATGATTGTTCTTGCTTCAGTCATAGACCTTGATAGCTTCTGCTTTGTGTGTTCCTTTAGTAAACGAAGGGAGCAAGAAGAGAACATGTAGGTACTTATAATAATAACGATGATGGTGATACAGATAATTATAATAGTAATAATAAAATAATGATAATAATGATAATGATGATGGTGATAATAATAATACAGATGGTGATAATGATAATGATGATGAT